ACATTCATATTTGAATATTACTCAATGTAAACAAATATATCTAAACTACCCATAGAAAAATACTTTGAGATTTCTGTACTTGTTATTGACAAGAGCTTAGAATTAGATCATCCACCTCAAGCTCCTAGTTGCTGGGAGACCACTACAAAGTAAAAAATAAAATAAAATACATGAATGTAAGTATATGAAAAATGTTACAAACCTCTTAAGTCCTTCTCTCCTTTGACCCCGGGACACTTTGATTGATGCACCACAGCTGTCTGGCTTATTTGTGGCAATGGGGCAGAAGATGAAATGCTTTTGGTGGTTGGGGATGCGGAAATGCTGGGTAATCTTGGCATCCCATCTGGAGCTGTGGAGCTTGTATGACAACGACCATCTTGGCTTCTTCATATTCAGAAAGAACATGCTGTCTCCCTGATGAAACACACAGGAAAGAGGCTAAATATAAGGACATGAGAAACTACAGGAGGAGGGGAGGAGAGGGGGAGAACAGGAGAGGTAGAGGTAGAGAGAGGAGGAAAGGAGGAGAGGATTAGTGGAGTATAGAAAGGTACTGCAAGAGGAGGAGAGGAGGAAGAGGAAAGGAAGAAAGGAGGAGAGGAGGAGATGAGGAGAGGGGGAGTGGAGAAGAGGAGATGAAAGGAATGGCTGTGGATATTACATAGGAATAAGCATGTCCTGGCCTGCCCATTACTTTAATATATATGACCTCTGCCTATCCACATTCACTCAACAGCCCCTCCATCTCTCTATATTAGTCTTGGCCACTACACACAGGAAGACACAAGATGTTCAAAGCTGATTAATCCAAAAATATCAGACTCTAGGGAAACATACTGAAATTTTCAACAATAAAAACACCAAATTGAAAATGTACTGCTTACAGTGAAATCTCTAAACTGCAAAAACTTAAATCTAGCCAAGTTAAGATTACTTGAATTCATCATGATTTCAAGAAGACTTCATGTACTTAAAATATGAAAATACATCTTGCTACACTTAAAGGGACAGTCTGGAATTTTGGACACAGGACTTTATTTCCTAGTTAGCCTAGTTAGCGTTGGAGACGTGTGGAGACACTTTTTTAAAATATTCCATCCAGTCCTTGTATTTGCAGAGGTCGCTGGTGCTAGGCTAGTGCATGTCAATGGCCATAGTTAGCCTGACACTAAAAACAGTCTCACCCACTCCACAAAACACCCTAAACAAATCTATTATTACACCAGACTGTCAATGTAAATGTCTGTGTCAATAGAATAATTTTAGCAGGAAAACCAATGTTACATTTGAAGGATTTATGTCTGAGCAGCAACAGTGAGTTGTACTTCCTGATAGAAAGCTTGGCAGCGAGAGACTGATGTCACCTAACACCGATCTTACCGGCAAAGTAAAATTCCTCTGCTGCTGAGAAAATAGTCCCTCAACATGCGATGCAAGGTTGGTTTTATTTCAAACATTATTCTATCAACACAGATATTTACATTGAGAGTCTGGTGTAATAATAGATTTGCTTTGGGTGCTTTGTGGAGTGGGTAAGACTGTTTTTAGTGGCAGGATAACTATGGCCATTGACCTCTGTAAATACAAGGACTAGATGGAATTTTTTTTTTTAAAAAGTGTCTCCACACGTCTCCAACACTCTGGCTAACTAGGAAATGAGGTCCTATGTCCAAAATTCTGGACTGTCCCTTTAAGATTTAAAAAAAACAAAAAAACAAAAAAACTCTCAACTCTTTGCATTTAAAATAAGAAAACTACTGTTTCTGGAAATGAGAAAAAGATACTTATTCCATTGATAGATAATTTTACTTGTCAAGTTGAATCTACTCAAATAAAGTAAAATTATCTTAATTTGAGTCATTTTAACTTAGATATTGTTTTTGGAGTGTTCTTTTTGCAGTGTAAGACATCTCTGTCATTTTGAACAGAAAGCTGATGGACCTGTTTCCATTATGAAGTTGTTTTAGACCATTGCTGTGGTTCACAATGAAAAAAATGTGAAATAATTATCAATGCATCTAAGGAGTGGACTAAGCATGGCCCCGCATGCCCATCGAACATATGTATGACCTCTGCCTTTCCACACTCACTCAGCAGGTCCTCCATCACTCTATATTAGTCTTGGCCACTACACACAGGAAGACACAACATGCTCAATGCAACATAACGTTTGCTATTAATAAGTCATATGAGATGACACAGATGGGCCAAACATATTACGACACTTAAAAGGCCTGTACCCAGTTTTTCTCATATACTCTTGCCCCAGTACAGATATATTGTATAAACAGCTCTAGAGGTCAAAGTATGTCCGCTGTGTACTGTCTGTCTTTTGTAAATTTTTAAGACAGTAAAAATCAGGACAGATACAGCACCTTTAAATATACAGAATGTAAAATGTATTCATGTTTCAATTCAAAGGTCAAAAAATATCATATAGTTCAAAGTTGTACATTGGTTCTATAATGATATAATGATACGGGGTGCTGGTTAGACCTGGGCCAAAGCAGATTTATTTATATAGCTGGTCCTGACAGGGTCCTTTTTTAATTCCGTACAGTTAGTTAAAGATGCATTGTGTATTATATTTCTGTTTTTCTAGGTATTTTTAAGCAATAAAACCTGTAATTGAATAAATGTATGTTATGTCAGTATCTGTTTAATGTCATACTATGGAACATTCCAAGCAGAGCATAGACATATCCATAGAAACAAGCAGGTGATGGACCTCCAAAGTTTCATAGTGCTCATTTAAGGAGAGTCCTGATAATGTGTCTATACTAGCAGTGACGCTGGGGGATTTATTCTACTTAAGAAAGAATAGAGAAGTAGGAACTATGGGTTTTTCCTCAAATATAATGACTCATGTTTAAAATGAAAAATGATATGCGTTCAAGACAAGATAGCAATAATACTGGAGAGTGGAACTTAGGTTATGAACACTATATGACAAATGCATTACACCCAATTCACCTGCTGCTACTTTGTTCACCACAGCTTGCTACAGTTAGAGAATTTATATAAAAATCATCACTCAAATGCCTATATAAATCTGTACTCTGCCTTCAATTTCCTCTCCTCACTGGGACCAATCCAGGGGGTTTCTGTCTTTGCACCCCACCTAATGATTTATTCATATGTACAGAACATTCCCCCATAGCTTACAATGAAGGCACCCCCAACCCCCAACAACCTCTCATCAGAAAAATATCAAAATACTGTAAAAATGTAACCAGCTTTATATTTAGAGCTCTTATATGCAAATTTGTGTTTGGGAAATGTATGCATGGGTTCAAACAGCCTGGAAATAACCGATGACACAACCCCGCCCATTGCACTACTTCTCAGGGACGATCCTTTCATATTTAACCATATAAACTACAAAGGTACGTGGTTAAATGGACATGCAAAGAGTAGTACACATTTGACACTTCAAAGCATGAATATTTTTTTTACCACATTGGAAATGAGCTTGATAAAATACACTTTTTAGTAAAATGCTTTGTACTCCGGTAGGCTACACCAGTCAGATGAAATAAATAGAGAAACATTTTTGATAATGCATCTATTTTTGACATTAAAGGCGCACTATGTAATTTTTCACCTGGTTGTGTTCATAGAGATGTGCTAGAGAGATTGCTTTCCCTGGAATGTACCACAGTATAGAATTAGCTTGGTGCTTGTCTCCATGGAGATAGATGAGTTTAATATCATACTGTGAAAAATTCTCCCTGACAGCCCACTCGGAAAGTTACACAGTGCACCTTTAAAGTGAACAGATTTGCACATTCAAACGTTTCTGTGATTTGCATTTTTCACCCCAAATTCCAGTTGTGACGGAGGAATTTGTATTTAGAAATTGTATGTGTGGAATGGATATATTAAATAGTGATGACAGCCTGCTCATAAAAAATGTGTGACATTTGTGAAGCTGTGCACTCACCCACAGCAGCGCGAACACTCCCTCTCACACCGAGGAGACAGGGGCAGAGCTGGAGCTGTATGGACTTCACTGGTCTTCACTGGTTTCCTCTGGGCCTCATGTATTTTTCATCCAGCCCTAACATGGAAGGAGGTCTGTTCAAGAAAGGAGTACTCATCACCCAATACTAAGGTCATGTTTTACAATAAGCCAAGGGCACTGCTGTCACTTCCCATAACCTACTTTATCAATTTAGACACACTGTCATTGATCAGTGATTTAAAATATAATAATAAAAAATGTGGGTATAAGTGTAAAATAAAAACAGTTATATATATTTAGGACATTACTGTTTCCGTTTCCAGTGTATATGTTTGTTTCAAGGCTACAGAACAGCCATAGTCTACGGCCACATTGACGTCATGCATACAAACTACATTACCCAAAATGCTTTGTTGGCTTTTTTTTTTTTCTTCACGCTGTCAAAGGTGCTGCGTTCAGGGACTACAGCCATCTTTTCATGCAAATGCAAATCAGTGAAGGTGAGTAATTAGCCTACACCATTCCTAAACACTTTATAATTTTAATAGGTTTTCATATAAACAAGAAATTAGGCAAAAACTGATCCTAAATGGTGTATTGATTTGACCACGTTAGGCTGTGCTGTGGCATTCTCTTTACGCGTGGATGGGCAAGAAATTAGCGCGTAAAAGTGGAATATATAGTCAAGTAATATCCACGTTCTGAGTTTATTAAAGATAATCCTATGTAATTACAACAAAAATAAGTTCAAAAGATATTATTTGACGGTAACATTTTTGATTTTGTTCATGTATGCTAGCGTATAAGCACGTGGAAGTAAAACGATCTTCTCCAAAGTAACATTTACACACAAAGGCTTAGTCCTAGAAATATCGTAATGCTTTTAGGATATTGTTGACTACATATGATGCTTTGCGGTGTGATTTTGTGTCGTCTGCACAGATTTGACCTTTCCGATGGTCGTGTTCCCCACAGTCCTTGAACGCAGCCCGTGTCGGTTTCACTCTCCGCTCCTCCACTGCGCGCTCCTCCAGCCGCAGCAGCAGCAGTGGCAGCAGTAGCGGCACTGCTTTCTCCCTGTCTAACCTAAACAATGACGGCTACACAGCGGAGAGGAGCTCGCCAATAGAATGATTTACCGGACACCGAACCTTTGCTTTTCGCCGCTTTTCCTCCCGATCACTTAAATGTGCCCCGCGTAAACATGTGGATACCTACGGAACACGAAAAATACGGCGTCGGTAAGTTTATTGCCCTTTTTCTGACGGCTGTCTTGTCTCGCTTTGCACCGTAGGACATCGGGGGAGAAGGGTTGTGGATGATCGGTCCGTGCGGTGCTTTGAAATTGTGCGTAAAACGTGGTAAAGATTTGCTTTTTTTTTTGTGGCAGCATCTTTTTTGAAGCAGTCTGTGATGGGGTCCTGGATAGGGAATTGAGTGCCACATTGCAAAGCAGAGGTTTATTCTCGCTGTGACCCGCTATGGTTAAATGAAAACCGCTGCATTCATACTATTTTATTTTTCAGTTTTTGCTTTGGCAATGCTCACCATTTAATTTCCCTTTGTGCACACATAGCTTTGTTTTGTTGTGGTTTATTCGCGTATCTTTTAATGGGAAAAACGCATCACACTGCAAGATGATTAAGCCCTATGCAATTAACCCACAGACCATTTATTCATTAGACATTTCTGTGTTTAATAATGAGGGGGTAAAGCTTTGACAACAGCAGCCCCAGTCTCGCCGTCTACCTGAGCGGCAGAGAGAGGTAGAGGGGGGGGGTCCTGTAAATATGTGTAATACAGTGCATTGTTCCAGACTGGCGGGACTAGGCATCATAGTAGTAAGACAACAACGAGCAATGATACAGACCTATTCAAAACCACACAGACCTACTCCTGTTTGTTAATAGAAATGGGCTCTTCTTGTGGGGTTGTCTTAAGCAATGAAAAGAGCTCATTGAGATGCTGAGGCTGAGAAGAGGCGTTTAAATGCCTCATAATAATATTCCCTGGAGATCTTGGGTCTACTCCGCTGCACTGTGCATCATGCTGGCTCCACTAGTCCTTACATGCATGCACAACCAAGTAATCCATTTTGCATTTGGGTAATATTGTAGTTGTTGTTCGAATCTGGAGATGTGTGGAATTAGATTTGAGTACATTGTCTTTAAAGGTGCACTGTGTAACTTTTCTGGTAGAGCGTCTGCCATATGCTTGTCTCCGTGTAGATGTTTTTGGTTGGTCTGGAATGTCCCGGTACGACATTAAACATATCTATTTTGTATTTACTCAGTAACATGTGTTTTACTGACTTTAAAACATGTATTCTTACTGTGAGTGGGCTCGCCTCTACACAGATTTGACATGTCACTTAGCCCTATGGCATCATCTGCTGTCTCCATAGAGATTGAAAACACGTAATGCCTTACTGTGGAACATTCCAGGCAACATATTCATGGAGAGAAGCTGGACTAAGTTAGACTTAGACAGTGCACCTTTAAATTAAAACAAAATGACAGAAAAAAGCTGATGGAAAATAAAATCTATATGTTGTTGACTAATACATGTATAAAGGGATATTTCTGCACATTTGTGGTTCATTTTATGTTCCATTCAAGTTTTGAGCAATGCTTGAACCTCAACCAAGTCATCTACAGTCATAGCACATTTCTGATGCATTGTTAAAATATTGTCTGACTATTGTTATCAAGATAAGTCAAAAAAAAAAAAACGCCCTCTTCCAAGTGTAGCCTATTATTTCATATTTGATGAGATCTGCCTTAGCTGTAATAACAAACCATGCATGCTTCTGTTTGGTAATTGTTGCTTCCAGTGTCCAAAAATGCCACTTAGACTGTGCTCAACCACAGTGAACCTAAAGCCCTCCTTGGCCTCTGTCACACTACCCAACGTGGGCACTACTTCATGTTCTTGACTAAATTCAGTTTCTAATAGACTTGTTCCTCTGCTCTTTTCGTGGTTTTTGAGTTACGACCCTGATCTCTAAGCACTTATGTTATAATATCCTTAATCCCTTCTCTGGACATTTCCCCCAGAGCCCTTTAGCGTTACCAATTTTGATAAGCCTTTTCACATTTATTGAATTTTTTCCCTAATCCCATTCCTTGACAGTCAGTATTCACTCAGCTGGATAAAACAGACATTTATTTCAAAAACCTAACGCCAGCTTTTGTCCCTGGACTGCTAAAAAGGTTATCCTTTTAATTGGATAAAAGAAATGCATTAACTTTATAGCAGAGATGTAACAGTAGCCGAAAAAATGTGATATCTTATCGTCAAAGTTCTCACAACAATATCATGGACCATCACAATATATCGAATTACAAGTGTCTTTGCGTAAATTAAGAGTTATGGTGCAACAATAGCTAAAAAAAGACGGAGAACTACATAGATCCATGATCCTTTTCTCCATTTCAGTGTAGACTACATGAAGAAATAACAGTTCTAAGCACTTTTAAGTCTTAGTTCTTTGGATTAAGTCTTGTCAAGACATTTTAAGAGGAAAAAGTAGCATATTAACAGTTTTGTTTGCCTCTACAAAATATCGCAATAAATATTGTACTGTGAGATGTATATCGTGAAAATATCGTGCCAAGAGATTTGGATATTGTTACATTCCTAATCGTGGGACTCCGCACCATATCGTGAGCTTCCTATGATATCACAATAAATATCGTACTGTGAGGTTCATACAGTGATGATATAATATTGGATATTGTTACACCCCAACTCTATAATTCATTTTAAAAGTCCTATATTACACAAAATTTACTCTTGTGAGTTTTAATCCATGTTATAATGTTGTTGCCTCCTCAAAAACTTACCTGGAGTTATTTTTTGTTTCATTCACACATTTGCGTAAGCTTTTATTATTACTCTATCTACATCTCCAAAGCTCTTCTACATTTTGTTCTGTAGAGATTGTCAATACCAGGGCTGAAATTATCCAAATGATTCTTTTGAAGGTGTATGGAGTTTAAAAACACATTGGAGCACTTCCTGTATTACCACATGACATCACAAGGTGGAGTGTTTTCAGTTTGAGAGAAGAACACAGCCTCAATATGCAGGATTTGAGTGTTAAACATATGAATGAAACAAAACACAACACCAGGTATGTTTGTGATGAGGAAACGGCATTATATAACTTAGACCAGAAAATGGTGCAACATGTGGCCTTTTAATTTGTTGTGATTTTCCCTGTTAACATGGTCTAGCAGCTGCATTACATTCATTTGTTCACTGATGTTTTGAGGAAGGAACTAAGCTGTTTTCCTGTTGAGAAATTTAGGTTACATTATGACACATGTGTGCTCACAGACGCTGGCCAGGCATAACTAAGTGACATTTCACCAACAACAAGCACTTAGCGTAATATGGCATAACATTTCGGCGACTGGGCTGTCTTGGCATTTCCATTTCTATCTGCTTTTAATCACAGTTAATTTACTTCCTCCTTGTATCCTGGGCTATAGCCTCTAGGCCTGTCACGATAGCCGTTGTTGAAGTAGATATATCCATGGGTTTCAGAGTTATAAAAAATGGAACAGTTGTCATAGCAGTAAATCATTTAAAACAAATAACTATATCTTTGCATTGTTAAAGTCCTTTAAAGGTCCTATATTACACAAAATTGACTATTGTGAGAGCTTTTAGCCATGTTATAATGTTGTTACCTCCTCAAAAACATACCTGAAGTTGTGTTTTGTTTCATTGAGTAACCCTTTATTATTACTGCTCTGTCTACATCTCCAAAGCTCAAAATACCCTGTTCCACCTTTTGATGTTATGAAGCGGTAGTTTTCAAGGTGCCTTTTATGTTTTGCCCAGTCCTGAAATCTGAATATGATTCTAGTGAAGGTGTATGGAGTTTAAAAACACAGTGGAGCACTTCCTGTATTACTGCGTGACGTCACAAGGTTTAACAGAGTGAACGCAAGCGTAATATGCAGGATTTGTCTGTTAAACATGCGAATGAAACAAAACAACACTCCAGGTATGTTTATAATGAGGAAACAACTTTATAATGTAGAAAATAGTGCCATAAAATTCCAGCTAAAACAGGAAGCTGAAACCAGTGATTAACTTCCTCCAATTGAAAATCATTGTATAACATCATGATGGTTATAGTAACAGTAACTCGTATAATAATTCTTCTATCATGCTATTCTATCACACATTGATTTATTGTGTCTTTTCTGTTCAAATCCTATGCATTTAAAGGTGCACTGTGTAACTTTTCTGGTTGGAAGTCTGCCACAAGCTTGTTTCCATGGAGATTTTAGGTTTCACAGTATGGCAGCTTATCTATGCTGCATTTATTCAATTACAGGCGTTTTACTGCTCAAAAACACTGCGAAAACAAGAATTCCTACAGCGAGTGAGCTTGCCTCTCAACAGATCTGACCTGTAATTAGGCTTGGAGGCCTGGAAATAGCTGCAATAGATTTAATTCGATACTGTTTGACATTCTATACAAAGCGATAACATTTCAGTGAAGACAAGCTGATGGTGGATAGCCAGGCTGGTTCGCAAAAACCCCGGAAGTGCGAGTTTGGGCACCAGCCAATCAGCGACGAGCCATACATTCTGTGTTGGCAACGATTTCCGAGATCGTCTTTTTAAAGCCGGAACAAAGAGAATGTTTGGTGAATTTTATCAAGGGGAAAAACGTTACTGCCCTTCTTCCTACGGGATTTGAGAAAAGCATTACATACATCACGACCGAATAGCAGCGATTGATTAAATGAAAAAAAATATCTGCATACCGTAGAGCAAACGAATCCTAATCAGACGGTTTCCACGAAGTGAAACCGGCCGATGAATCAAGCTAGATGGTGGATCGCCTACCAGAAAGTTACACAGTGAACCTTTAACCATGCTTGGGGCTGACCTGATACACTGCATGCTTTATTGGCTGATCATTTGAGGTGTATTGAATTTCCATCTTTCAGTGTCTGATGAAAGTGTCAGTGATCCAGTTAAATCACATCAATATAATCAATTATAAACTGACTATTGAACATAAGGTGGATCATCAAATTGAATCTATGTGTTTGTATCTATCATGGTTATCAATATCACCACAGTGTCTACTTTCGGTATTGGCTGTTATTGCCCTATAATTACACAGACTGGCTAGAATATTCATCAGGTTTTGTTGGTATTGTGAGGCACTGTTTACCGCAATGGCAAAATAACCCCTAGCAGGTAATGATCT